GACGTGCCATGATGAACGAAGAGGAAATGGCCTGCTTTTGTACTAAGAAGTCCGTCTACAACACGAAAGTAGTCTATGAGTGTGAAGATCTCTCCCCTCATTGCAGCCTTACTCCACTCGTAGAGTCTTCTACGATCGATTCAAGTGCAGCCAAGAATCTATTGAACGGACACCCAAAGAAGGGTCACAAGGGCACCAGAGAGCTGTATGGCGCCCGTGCCACAAAGTCAAGAGCTACCGCCAACCAACCCCAACCGATGACATGGAGGATATCGCAACATCGTCACCCACCACAATCACGATATCTTCACCAAAAACGTCAAAAACATACAACACCAGGTATTCGCTGGTCGTCACCGACCCAACTACTAATCCGGCCCTCATTGGCTTATCTATGGGAGAGCGGACGGGATCCCGAGTTTTCCAATGGGTATGGTCGTATGTGCCAGAAAAGGCTGTCAAACAAGTCCATGATGCCTTGGACATAGGGCAGCTACGAGACATCAGATCGGCCCCACCCTTTCCGCCGCCGTTCGGTGGACGCTTCTTCGGCCCGGTGGATCTCCTAGGTCGGCCGGTCCGCGTGAACGTTGAACACGCCCAGAATAAGTCTATAAGGTGGCTGCTGGAGCGCCAGTCGTCCGGATATTCCTATTGAATCTGGCCGTACAGTTAGGCACATCAGAAGGCTGTGGTGTAAGACATCCCGGCAACGCGTGTAAGCTGGAGCTGATCTGCCCGAGTTTCCATATACTGAATTAATTACTACATAAGAAGGCTTAACGTTAGTTACGTATGTGTGTAGGTGTGTGAATATTGGCATATAAACCAAAATAGAACGCCGCCCCCCTGAATTGCCCAACCCCTTTTAACGCCTAAATGTGCCAAGGCCGCTCCATATGCTCAGGCCTCGGTCAACGATTGCTATCTCTCAGCTCCTGCATCTCCATTCCGCCAGATGAACCACTTGGGCCAGGTAGACCGTGCCGTTCTCTGAGCGTTTGTATAAACGGGCCCATCTCGTAGTCACTCTCCATGCTGTCATGATTGGCGCATGGTGACCCGCGTATGGGCAAAAGCCAGTCGATCAAGGAATACCCCATAATGGACGTCCAGTTCCTAGCGTAACCGAGATCCCACGGGTTTTCATCTGGTTCGGTCCTGACAATGGCAAAGGTGCGCGTAGCTAGTCTATCGCGGGGAGTTTCGCTATCGATGGTGGCGTCCGAGGAGGTAGGTATCCCTTGTGGATACTTTGGTAGAGGATATGTGATCAAGCCGTAGCTATTTCCGGGCCGGGTATCGTTTGGTACCCTGATTGCGAGCTGATGGACCCAGGACTTTCGAAGGGCGTCGATGTTGGTGATATTAAGTAAAATGAACCGCCAAGAAGTCGCAGTCATGAGGAATGTAAAAAGTCCAAAGAAACCTGCGATGGCGACGCCTGAGATCGTTCTCCCGTCCACAGTCCCATCGCGCACCTGTAAAGCTAGACAGTAGGCTGTCTGGCCCAGCGCAACTGCGCAATAACAAGTGCAGTAGAAAGTGAACTGGGCAAAGAACTTAAATGCTGTTTCCTGTCAGTATTGAACCCGTGCCATAAACGGTATCAACTCACAGGTCTCCGACACCATGCCGCCGACCCAGGGGCAATAGTGATCCATCTTTCGTACGCATCGCTCAACCTCGCTCGAATGATGAGCTCTATCGGGCTTCCAATTGCGGCACTCTGAGCACCATTTCGGCCGTCCGTCACTCTCGCATGCAAATACGTCCTTGCTGTAGAATCCTTCCAAGCCGGGGCTGTCCGGGTCCTGATCGGGGCCTGTGAAGTAAGGCTGACTTTCCAAGTCTCCTTCCTTTCTGCGCCTGCTCTTTTTGCTCGATTCTCTTGATGCTTGTTGTGCCTGTGGGCCGAGCGGTACCAAGCCAGGGTCCGCTTTGATTTTTAGGAACGTTCGTAGATAGGCGGCGATCGTAAGGAGGTAGAAGAAGAGGTAGAGGGTGATTGTCGAAATGGCGGCGCCATGCTCACCCCTGGTTCTATACAGGTAGTCGACTACAGCGAAAGATTAGCAGAGAAAAGAAGCCATGTGAATGAGAACAGCTCACCGCCTAGATAGGCCACGACCACGTAGGTAGCATAGCCGCTTGTGCCAGTGATGATGAGGGGGATGATGCGCGTCACCCATCGCGAGGCACATTTCGTGCTGGTGGCTTGGGACATTGCAACGGCGCAATCATTTCCGGCACATGGAAACAAGAAAGAGGACAAATTAAATAAGTCGGCGACCAAAAGAGAGCGTGGAAGTTGCGAGCGACCAGCTGCGAGCTGTAGAGCTGCGCAGACGATGCGACAATACGCAAATGCGCAGGATTGGAGATCGTTGTCGTGCTTTCCGGAAATTGGTGCCGGGGCGACGGACAAGTTCTGGGCGCTCGGAGGTGCGTGCATGGGATGCAGTGTCAATCTCGTTGTACCTTACTGCTAGGTACCTCACTTCTAGGTAAGGTACTGTCAATTTACACAGGGCTGAAAGATAGCGGGTACAGGGAAGACAGGGGCGGTAGCAATAGGTACCTTACGCTGCAGAACATGCGTAGAACAATGGCTCCCTTGTGCTGAAGTGGATCAATAACGAGAACAGTGGCTTTCAGCCCTACAACCGCACCTGCGTGGCGTCACTCTACTTGCGATTTCCCCTTCACCATGTTCTCTCTCTACTGGATCATGCCGATCTGCCATATCCCAAAACATCCAATTGACGACACGCAACTCTCAGCCGCGAGACACTGCCCTTTCGTTCCCCGAGGAGAAGTTCCCGCGGAAAATTCACCAGGCAATCCGCAATGCGTGGTTCGTTCGATATCCAATCTCTGATCGCTACCTAGGTACTGCGCCTTCATTTGTCTCACTCTGGTCCAACGAACATGAAGAATCCCCCAGATGAGTGGGCATGCTGATTCATCCCACGACAACACGTCTGTCTGCCAAGTTCCAATGAATGATTCAAATCGCGTATCAAGAAACGAGACAGGTTTCTATTTGATTCGTGAGGCATTACGCGGTAACGTGGCTTGTCGATGTTTTCAGCCGACTTCATTCATCAGCTGACGGTTCATTGGTAACCATCAAGAGCTATAGGTTTCAGCTTCGGTGGCCAAAAGAGGCCCTTTACGCGGTTCAAGTTATAACTACATGCCTTCCCCTCCCCTTGCAGTGTTTACAGATACTCGTGTCCAAGCGATCGGATCTTCAGCCGCGCGTGGGTGGGGGAAAATGCTACACCCTTGACGCCCGACATACTAGGCTGCTACGCCCGGTGACGATGACTCTCTAGAATATATCAACCTACGCAACCCGGATTGAATAAGCCCAGGAACAGCGGGAAAGCCCTCATATACCCCTCCAAGTCTAGCCCTGTCACCAGCCAGAAGGCGCCCGTCTAGGTCGACGGGTCAGGTCAAACTGGCTGGGTGGTGGAGTGGTCAAGGTCCACAATCAATCGTGCCCACAGCCTACTCGACGACAGGCTACAAGTTCGAGTTCGAATTTCCCAGTATGAGCACCAAATGATGTAGCCCCCAGTTCAGCTACGGGGGAGTGAACTCTTTTTGGTTCTATCGTTTAGACCTTGATGATAAGCGTGAGCTCAGTTGACCACCTCATCTTCAAGACCACCACCTACTGAGGGGCAGGCAAACTGCAAATAACACACACCGATGAGAGTCATTTCCAGAGAACAATTACAAAATACTTTCATTCAAAAGTAACACGAAAGCAAGCAGGCTCTTGCACTTTCAACTCAACAGCCCAGTACTATCTAATTGCTGTCCAACTTAAGGTGATCTAAATCCTGGATGATCAGGCCATCAAGATCTTACGACTTTACTGGGAGCATCCCTCTATCACGCCGCTGAGGGGACCGGCCTGGGTTACTTGTGCCTGATGGGTTTCCAGCACTGAGCCTCAAAGCAAGATGTCAAGGATCATGCACTCGGCATCTTCTTATTCACTCAGCCTGTCTGTCATATATCGCCTATTCCTACTTTGGTCCAACAGCTTGCTACACTCAGGCCTGCCTTGAAGATTGTGCATCTCTTCCACCGACTTCCAAGGTGATGGTCGGTCAGATCATCAGGCTGTGTACGGCACATGGGTCAATAACTCCTCACAGACGCATGACCTGTCCAGGAGAGTTGATGAAGGTGTGGCTCTGCCTAGGCGTTGGCCACCAGGACCATAGATATCAGCCTGAGGATCACAAGATGTCGTCGCATTCGTGTGGCCAGCCGCTTCAAAGAGCCGCATAGCCATAAGTATAAGAAGCTCAACTACCCCCTTTCTTCACCTCTGTCCTTTGTCTGTCGTCGCTGGCATAAATTTCTTGACAGCTGCTGCAACAACACCTGAATGGATGATCACCTACACCCCACTCATGAATATATGGACACCCTCAATGGCACGATTCGACTTGACTACATCTTAGATGGTTCGTTCCCCACGATTCGATCGCGCCAGTCGGAGGACAGACGAGTAATCCTGGCGAATGAAAGGCACGGATAGGATGCTGCATGTTTCCCGCCGACGCTATCCATACAACGACAACGCTGTGTAAGTTTTATTGAGTGTAGTACACTCGGCTGATAGGCCAAGGTCTTTCTATATCTCTATTTTGTTACCTCTCATCTGACAACAGTAGTCCTAATTCGCTGCTGTACAACCTTTTGTTCATACGTTCGTTTCTATCAACTTTACCTTCACCTATCGCCAACTCAACTTCAAACAATGACCAACTCAGAAGTATATTCCCGGCGGATAATTACTAGAACCTAGCTTCCGAAACTATTCGAAGTTTCTCTTCAGCTTACACTCGTTCTTCTACCAAACGACCTCGAACAACGGCAGATATCAAAGAGAATCACGTGACACATGTTATCTCAATGAACCGAGCATGGAGCCTGCATATCGACAAGACCTCCGCATGCTTACGCAATTCATGCATGTCGATTTCCCCCTCACTCCCACCTCGCTCCAGAACACAATCCGACGCCTTCTCTGTCCCCTCTTCACAAGACTGCTGCCTACCGGCGGTTCGCATCTCACCTCACATCGGAAATTGGCGAGGTCCGGCAAACAATTCTCCCTTGATTACCCCAAGTACCGGTTGTCATTCTCGTCTTGGCGGCATACACACCGCATACGCAACACGCACGCGCACCTGTGGGAGTTAAGGCTGCATCCGATGCCTGGGTCGATGAAGTATAGCTACAACTGGAACGAAGGCATGACTCTATCCCAACTTCGAGGCCAAATCGAAACCGGATTGAGTCGAGCAAGCCCAAGGTCCATCTTGGGCATACGGATGCGGCTCTGCTCCCTTTAGAAATCAGCCTTCAGTTTCAGGTAGGGGAAGGTGGCTGCCTGATTGTCGGTGAGGATCGCGGCATCAGGGCAACGTTCCCCTTGCCCTTGTGGAACACACATGCTCAGGGCAGTCCTCGAGTCTATCCTTGTCAACTAACTCCTTCAAAAGTACCGACAAAAGCCGCAGAGCCGCAACAGCAGAGCCTCCTCCGAGAGCCGCAAGCTCGCTTCGTTTTGGGAATTTGGATGGCTTCCCACGTCGTATGCTGGCCCATGGCGTCCTTTTGCCGCCCTTCGTACTTTCGGCGCAAGACACAAGGAGTCATATTCTCCTCTTCCCCTCATCACTGGTGGATATTTCCTTGAATAATGTCTGGGCTAATTTTGTTCCAGATCACCCACCGTAGGTGTTCCTATCTGCCTGCACTGGGACATACCGTAGCATCGCCTCGAATCACCGCTCTGGATATCGAAACACCTGTACGGGACCTACTAGGGCAGACGTTACATGCCAATCGCCTGGAGGTGTCTTGATAGGCAGGCGCAGTTGTGGTCTTCGACGTCGCGCTATGGAGTGTGAACTCGTCACTGCGCCAACTTTCGCCGAGGCAAGCAGGATGCCTTCTGGAACAGCCACGATGGGCACCAGCTCGACGACAGGAGTCTCCACCAAGACGACTCATTCACGTCGGCCCTGTCACCGATTAAGGCTTCCCGTGAAGAAATGTCTAGTGACTTTTGTACGGTGGCTTGAAACCTCGTTGGTCAACAATTTCATTGCCTTGGCCAGGCTTTCTCGACACGGCCGTCGATTGTAATGTCAGTGGGACTCTGCGGACGATACGCTCGAGGGGACGTGGGACTTGATTTTGAGGTTTTGGAAGTATAAAGAGATGGATTGATTCCTGAGATACAAGTGTCGTCTCATCACACCATCAACGCCTTCAACTTCCTCTTAAGCATCTGCTAGATATACTCATCTAAGAATCTACTACTCTTCTCTCCGAGCTTTCTAGAAATCTCCTACTTTTTTCTCCAATCTCTTCGCGCGATCACTCAACCCATCACAATGGGATCTAAGACTTACGTCGAGGTCTGGACGTGTGTAAGTCAAAATTAATCCATCATCACTTCTCCCACGCAATGATTGACATTGAGCAGTGCCAGTGCGGTGACTCTGGAATGACCACGAAAATCGACTACTGCCCATCATGCCAAACCAGACGTTGCACCTATTGCCAAGTTCAGACTCGCAGAGTACGATAGTCGCCTTCAATGATGCTTCGTTCTTTCTCCACGCCAGCGCAGCAGCAGCAGCGGCGGCGGCAAATTCCACCAACTTACCCACGGCACACACAGTCATTCGAAAGTACTTTACTTTGAACCCCCTTGGTCAAGGACAATGCACGATTCGGGGAGCAACAGGAGTATTTCCCGGGGTGGTGTAAACCGTTCCGCCCACTCGGAGTTGTGTTTGAGGGTGGATGAAGTTTAGTCTGAAGTTGTCAATTCGCTCCCACTTACTTAGATTTCCTTTGTCTTTCATTGGCTGGATCTACTGCTGTGTCCTTTTTAGTCGCTCTCACCTGACTCACAATACAGGCATGCGACCTGCTAGGGGGCCTAGGCTGGATCGACTGTTTGATTGGGCTTTATCTCTTTTGTTTAGGATACCGACTGGGTACGACGTACAGCTTCCTCGCTCACTACTGTCTTTTCATTGGATGTTTCTCTATGTATTAGAGGGGTCTAGGACGCAAGTCATTTGCTAGATACTAGACTAGAAAGTCTCACGACATATCCTCCTCAATGGACTCATCTCTGTTTTCGTTTTTGCAACGTTACTCGGCCTTTTGAAAGTCTAGAATCTCTTTCGAACCATGCAATGCCGTGAATTCATGGGGTTAAATGCCAAACAGGCAGTGGACAATACCGAATGGAGTGTAAGTTGATCAAGTGTGGCGAAGCCCGACTCCACAGAAACTGCATTGCAGTTACAGGCCGCAGACAAGAACAATTCCTTTAAGCTTCACGTAATGAAAAGACAGAGCAACTTGGATGCCTTGTTTTCTTATGGTAATTCGTAACTCGGGTACTGGAAATGTCACATCCGTGGATGAGACTAGACTATAGGCCCGATGTAAGCCAACGCGGTGCCCTTCCGAGTACAGGGCAACGTTTCTATTCAACTACGACCGGTCTCTTCCGAGGTTCACATGGATATGTCACATGCCACTTGGATTGCCTACATCCAGCGAGCCATGTAGCTGTTGAAATTGTTCATCATACGTTGGCGCAATTCTCTCAGAACAGTGACGAGTAATATCACGTCATTTGCCCGAGAACTTGAAAAACCACTCACTCAAGGCACCCTCGGGAGGAAAGCCAAAATGCCGCCTACCTATTCATCGTGCCAATAGAGCTCCAATGCCAATAGCTTTTTCCATCTCCCTTTAGACATTGTGATGTATGCATACCTCATGACCTCCTATTAGAACACCAATCCGAGCATGGTCCGTCCGATAAGCCACCACAAACACCTCGAGGCCCACCTCGAGGCAGTCTCGTAAAGTAGCCAATGCCCTGAAAGCTTTCAATTCAAACGACATGATTCGTTCCTCAGTTTGGGGGAACATGTAATGGGGCCTCGTCGAGGCCCGTCGTCACATCAACCTCACAGTAGGATTCGCGGAACCTTGGAAATCACATGAAAGGACCTGCATGCGGCCCAGAGTGCGGTTCAGGGAGACCCATGAAAAGCCCCGTCATCTTTATTGGCTACCAAGGCTTCGGGGCTGTGAGCTTTACGAGTAAGCAAAGGGCGTTGGTTGAAAGGCGGGATAGGGGGGGTGTGTGTCTCTGAGATGCCGCGGCCGTGTCTCGGTACTTGCTGCCTCGCTTCGTGCGCGGACGACTTTAGATGGGAAGGGGTGATGGGATCAAGTTAGGCTCTCTTATGAAAATGCAAAAAAGTCCCTGGGTAGGGGTAAGATACTACGTTGGGGTATGGCGCCAGGGTGCCTCGTGGCGAACGTTGTGCCTCGCGCATACCTTGGGGTCTCCCACCCCGCGGCCTCGGGAGAGAGGTGGTGGTGGTGGTGGTCCGCCATGCAGGCCATGATGCACAACATACACAACGTTCCCACCGCCCTTGAGATGGAAGGTGCCCTTTCAACCGGGAACTCGGGAAGGGCGACGTCGGAGGCGGCAGTGACGCCACAGGGGAGGCCAAGAATAATCGTACACCCCCGGGTCACCGAGTGCAAAGCAAAAAGACTGGCGGCGACACCTCCATTTACCGAACGATTCTTTCTTTTTATGAGACCATGAGGCCAACTTTGACTTTGCGAGAAATCGGTCCCCATTGTAATACGTTGATTGAAACACCGGGAGGAGATATGAGGAAAATACGTGAGGAAAAAAGAGGCGCGCGAGGCCCACCTTGGGAACGATTGGTATTGAGGAAGAGGAGAACATGTAATTGTCACCGGGGAGGTGGCGCAAGAAGCAAAGCCTCGGAGGAAAATGGTTGAGGAAGAGGAAAATCGAGGATTGCTACTTGCTCATCTGCGATTTGTGACTCTTGATTCAAGGAAATACAGAGGAAGCTAGCTGCGCAACTGCGCGCCTTTTGATATTGAGGATGTAAGGACGTGAGGATTTACAAATGCTTCGTTGAGGAAGAGGACCGAATCCGAGGATATAAAAGAAGCTGCTTGCACTCACAAAGCTTCAAGTGATTCCCTCGATACCAGCATCGGTTTTCAGAAACTTCATCAAGCACTACCAATACCACCGCTCCATCACTCTCAGACTTTCAGTCATCTCTTTCAACCACATCAAACATCAGCATCAACAATGGCTCACCACAAGAGCTCAGGCTCCAAGGGCCGCGGCGGCGGAAAGTCCCACGGCAGCAGTTCTAGCAGCAAGAAGCAGTATATCGAGTTCCAGGTCTGGTACTGTGTAAGTGACAGCACCGTCCCTGCTCATCTTTGGTCGTCCACGACATGCTCCGACTAACACGCCTCTGCTTCCAGGACCACTGTAGACAAGGACCATACAACCCTGAGATTGTCGTGTTCTGTACCAACCCCGGCTGCGGACACCAATACTGCGGCAATTGCACGGTCGAAATAGTCCGCCAGCGTGTTGATCACTGAGCGGGCGTGATTTGTCTTGGACACGAGTGTCTGAGTGGATGTCTTTTAGCTGTAGGAGACGTGGTGGTAAGGCATGGGAGAGACCGGCTATTGGCATGGGGGGTTTATGGGCACGACGGGGGCAATGCAATATCATGTACATAGACGCCTGAGAACTAGAGCGATCATATGCCATGATCGGCCCAGCAATAGGATTGCAACTGCAAATTGGACTTCGGAAAACGAAACTCTTCGTGCTTGTCGTAGTGTGCCTCGTAATGGTACGTTAGAGTGGCGACCTCCTCGTGTCGTAATTCGACGTCATGTAAAAGAGAAACTCTCTGCGCAGCACTCTGCGGTCAACCGGGCGTTGCTGCCAGTATGATATGTCAAGATCCGCCTGAGAACATGCCCTTCAAAGCCAGTAATGGTCACTCGATGACATCTTGACTCGAGGCGCCTTCATCCGGTGACTGGGTGACAGGTACTGTGAAACGTTGTCAGACCGACTTCGACAACAGCCAAGGTACATTCCATAAAGGGAGAGAGTCCTCAGTCTGTAAGACAGGGCTGTTCCGGTCTGCGTAGCATTGGTAGACAAGTGAGCTTCGGTCAAGTTTTCCCATACCGACGAGACCAAGCGGTGTGGCGGAGTACACCGTAATGTAATGTCTTGTAAGATGAAAGAGAAACGGAAAACGGCCACTCTTACACAACGAGGCAACTTGGAAGAGTCAAACAGAGATAGGCATTCTTCGGGATGAGGCCAAGGCCAACTTGGAAAACGATTGGAGTGGGAAGCGGATTTCATGGAAGTGTAGGTATACCGAGTTGACGGGGAGGGAGGCGAAGCCGAAAAAAAAGACCCAGCCCCAGAGTGCTCCATTGAGACTTTTCTACGCGAAGAAAGCGTGCAAACCACAAAGATGCTTGATACTCACCGAGGTTTGCGAACTAGGGGATTGGGAAATGCGCACTCGCGCGACTCCTAGCCATGGGACTGTTCCAATTACACTTGCAACTGTTGCCTCAACAGAACAGGTTATAAGCCCATCGAATTCCCTTCATCTCGAAGACGAAACAGAAGAAGCATCATCAACTCAAACATACAAACACATCAAAACCAGACGCATTATACTAGCACCGCAACAGACAGCAGTCAAATCAGCTCATACACTTGCTAAGCTTTCCAAACGCACGCCCATCATGCCTAAGCCCACCACCGTCAAGATCACCGTCTGGTACTGCGTAAGTTCAGAGACGCACAGCTCTTCATCACTTGGTCTCGTCCTTTTGCTAACCAACTCTCCTCTCTCAGCACAACTGCTCCTCTGGCCCGCTCAACTGCAAGATCGATGCCTACTGTCCCTACTGCTACCACCAGAAGTGCTCTGGGTGCACGACAACGACGATCAGGACTCCGGCTGGTCGATAAGTGAGTCCGAGTCTCTCAACATGGCACTGGCCTTGAAGACGTTTGTCAGAGACTAACAAGGAATTTCGTAGACAATGAGCCCTTTCTCGATGGCACTCGCCATATCACGACCTGCCTGACATGGCCAGGTCTCACACCCATGACTGGCGCCTTGGACGACACGTCCTTCAACTTCACCGCCACCAGTCGTAATGGCGACTACCACAGACAAGAAACCTTCAGACAGCAGGAAGGGGAAAAGGTGCCGCTACAAGGAACACGAGGACGAACATACATATGACGAAGAAGGACAGGGAAGGAAAGAAAGGCAACCCGCTGGCCGGGCACAGCCACTCGTTCATTAACAACCACCCAACACACAAGAAGCGACCCCTCCACAGCATCGAGACAAAATAGAAATTAGATAGACTTAGCCTCAGGGCGAGAACTCAGGCATAGCGAATGAATCAAGTTTTTGGATTTTTGTAACAAGTTGGAAATGTAAAGCAAAGCATCCGACCAAAAAAGTGGATATCAAAGGTGGCTCGTACCTTTAGCGCTGGTTGCCTCGTGCTTTCGTGTAGATTTGCAACTTTGCGGTATGTCGTGGGAATTGGGAAGGTGAAGCTCAAGGATGACGCTCAAGGATGACGGTGTGTCCCCGGCCCCACTTGATCCAGGAGCTAGGCTCCCGGGGAGGGGCTAAAAGGTACTGAGTAGCGCAGCGGCGCATGTTCGTAAGTACGCAGGTGCGGAATTGAGCAACTGAGTGTCAGTTTCAGTGGTCGTGAAGCACCGTCCGCGGTTGCGGAAAGGGAGTCAAAGTCTGCCTTTCCCGAAAGTAGGTAGGTAGTTGAGAAACACACGACGAGTGGAAAGCAATGATCATGGAGGGGTACCAAGGTAGTCAAGGAAATGCGGCTCAAAAAATGCAGAGTGGGTGGCGGAGCAACCCAGCCGTTGTTTGGTTGGGTCAAAGTGGCGCGTATGACCAGATACCTAATTGAGGCTCTTCTTTCCCCATTCCTAAACGGCGAATCGATGACCGCAAAGCAAGAGCGATACCGGTAGAAGCTGATTGCCCTGGGTTTTATTGGCGGGAGAGGAATGACATTGACAAAAGAAACGGAAGAAACACACCGGCCGGGTAAAGTCAGTGTTCGGCGAGCCAAAAGCGTGACCTCCCTTCACCGTCAATCAGGTGTCCCTAACGGCCCCACTTTACAGACGGGCGGGCAGACGGTATGGGGCTCTACTTCCCCTTGCCCGTCATACCTACCTACCAATAGGTAAGGTAAGGTAGGTGGGTTAGCCACAACAAGCCACACCATATGTGTTTCGCTTCAGCTGTCGTCGGAGTAAGACCCGGCGTGTTGCCGCCACACCTCGTCCTGCCGCCTGCCTGCGTTGAGCACGTCCGTCTGCCAAGAGTGCAACCCTTTTGCAAGCCAAGTTTAGAGAACAAAGAAACACAGAGAAAACAACAGCCATGTTTAGGAAACCGTAGCGGACCGCCCGATACCGCCCGACGAGGCAGAAAGGACGGGGACAAGAGACAAGACTCCACCCTAGACCGAGACGCCTTGGTAGTCGAGAGCGAAGTGACTGGCGACGTCCAAAAAGCAAAAAGAAAAGTACAGAATCAGTCACCTCATCCAACTCGTCGCGAAACCGGAGTACCGCGAACGCCAGCGGCCAACCTCATCCCAACGGCTGTTCCCCAGCGCCGTTTGCTGTTTGTCGCTTCGCCACAGCGCCCGAGGTTGCAGTTTCCCAATCCCTATCTAATTAGGCAGGCTTCTGGAACTATTCTCAGCACAGGGCAGCCACAGGCCCGCCCACGACTTTGTCACAGTCTCAGAGCCCAGAGGTCGTAGGCGGAAGGCCAAGGGGAGAAATGGGTCCCGCCGCCCGGGAGTACCTACATAAATAAAAGGTCCATGCAGCGTTCCATTCCAAAGTTACTCGGTACGTACCTTTCTCTCTTGACCGACGAGTCCACCTCGGTGTGTCGATTGGTCATAAACATCACCCAATCACCGCCTCACCTCTTCGATTCCCTCCCTCACCTTCGTACCCGGATGGAAATACTCGCTCTCTCACCACCCCTCTGACCTCAACCAGCGCGTGCAGCCTGACAGACTAGGCTCGGTCAACGAATTCAACCTCACGCTAGTCACGAAATGCTGGAGAATAAATCCATTGGTTGTCGTTAAAAGTCACACCTCGCGTCATCATCAAATTTAGCGTCTTTTCGCGTACTTCAGAAGCAATGGACGGAAGAAAATTGTAACATGCCAGTCAAAAATAAAATATGCCTAAAACTGCTGCTGCTGACCACCGTCTGAGGAGGAAAAAAGTAAAAAAAAGATGATTAGACCCTCTCTGCAACTGGCAATGAAGTCCCCCAGTTCCGATAAAACGTATGCAGCCAGATATCGCAGGGGAGAAGCGAGAATGCCCAACTCTTAGGCAGAGGCCGATGTCCGTCCAAGAAGCTTCGACGTCCTTGTCTTTCATTGCCTTCCCCCCCTTTCGTCACTTCTTCGTTCGTCTCTCCCCTGTACCATGTCGTCCTTCCCTCGATTCCCGTAATGTACAATGCCTTGCCTCCGTTTCGCCTGTTGAATGACCGAAAACACCTTGCCAACGCCAAACTCATCCGTGCCGCCCTCGTTTGTCGACGTCAAGATTCAATATGATGAATGAGGCATCGTGAATGCCTCATGCAGTGTGGCTCAGACTTCGCCACGGGTTCGCCTAATCTTGCCGGGCTGTGATCGTGGCCCCCGGGCTCACAAGCTCAGGGCTTACGAGACGGATCGTGGAACCGCGTGAGAGCTCTTCCAGTGCGTTGCGAGATGCCTTGCTAAGACTTCTGTGAAGCTTTTGGCCCTTGCTCTTCTCCGGGGTAAGTTCCTCCTCGTTCTCTGCTCCCGCGGCCACAATCGTCATGCTCGGCGCACGACTGCTCAGCTTCTTGGGCGAGACCTTTCCGTACGTCTTGAGCATCTTTCCGGAGCCCGACTTACGGACTGCGGTAGCTTTGCGCGCGGGGTTGGGAGCCGTGTACTTCTTCGGAGTCGACTTCTTCGGGGTTGCCTTCTTCGCTGTTGTCTTTGCCGGAGTCGCCTTTGTGCCCTTGGCCGACTTCACCGGGGTGCTCGTCTTGCTGGTGCCGCCGAGAATTGCCATGGCCGACACACGTCTCTTAACCGTAGCCGCGCCCTTGGACGCAGCCTTGGTGAGCAGGCTGGTCGAGGATAGTGATCGTCTCACTCCCTTGGCGGCCTTGATCTTGCGCTTCTTTGCGGAGCCGCCGTCTTCTTCGTCGCCAATCATCGTTTCGATCTTTCTCTTGCTCGCCTTGACAGCGCTCTTGACGACAGCCTTGATAGTCGACTTGGGAGGCTTGGGCTGTTTGACTTCCTGAGGCTTAGGCCCTAAGATCCCTCGACAGTTCGGCGCGCCGCAGAGACACTTTTGAACATTCTCGTCGCTGAACGGACTGAAGTTGTAGTCGTAGGTGAGTTCCTCGCCCGTCATAATGGGCTTATCCCCCGCGAACAACGCCATTCTGGGCTGGCCAGAGACAATCCACTTGATCATGCGGCAGTTGGGAGCACATGAGTGGTTGACGAAGCGAGCGATGCTACCGGTCGTGGCGTCGATAATCATGTTCTGATCGAAGCTCATGAGATAGTAGCACTGGTGATGCGGTTAGCTCTGCTGGGCGTCAAAGTTGACTAGGTCTTTACCCACCTTGTTATCCTTGTACTTGGTTTCCATGCGGTTGTTGCATTCCTCATCAGTAATGATCTCGCCGGTGTACTCCATGACAATCTGGTTCGGCTCGAAGCATCTGTTCGCGCGAATGCCGTAGCCACGGTCTGACGTCTTGATGACCTCGACACCAACGCGATACTTGCCACCACCTGCCTTTCTCTCTTGAAGATCGGCAAAGGCGCGGTTTGTACAGTTTTCCCGGCCCACGTTGCAGTTCTTGTCGTCGCACTCGTACAGCATGATTCGGTTCTGGCAGTCTTCACTGCATCCGTCCTCGGGTTTGCAGACGCACTTGGACTGGTCGATGAAGTGCGGCGTCTTCTTCCACAGGCTCAGAGAATCGCCAACGAAACGATCTGTATCAAGGTCAGTGAGGGGAGTCAGCTAGCGGCGATGGGTATCTAACTCTTTGTCATCTTGCGGAAGTCGTCGGGCTTCGGCTGGCCAGGCGGCAAAGGATTGCAAACATCAAAGGGGAGCTTGAAATCGCGACCGCTGAGCAACAGGCGCAGTCCATTAAACATTGGCAATGGAAGGGCCTTGTTGGGGCGACCGTAGTCCTTGAGCTCCGGTGTTTGCGCAAGCTTTCTCTGCTCAGGTATCGACAGCCCCTTGGTCAAATCAGACGGAGCCGATTGGCCAGCATACAGTCCACGATCGAGATATTTCTTGTGACGCTTCGTCTTCTTGGAGGGGGCGTCGGCAGCCTTCTCGGCCTTCTCCTCTACCTCCTCTTTCTTGGCCTCGAGCGGCTCAGATTTGGCCTTCTTGGCCGGTGGCGCAGGGATGTTGCCATTTTCGTCCAAGATCACGAGCTTTCCATTAGACCAGACCGTTCTGATGACAGGCTTCTCGTCAATGCCGGTGAACTCCTTGGTGTCTTGCAGGCGGCGCAATTCGCGGGGAATCTTGGACATGTTCTTCTCGAAGGTTTTGCGACTCCGCTTGCCGAGATTGGAGACTTTAGTCGCAAGAGTCTCGACAGGGGTTCCGATAAGACGCGCCGTGTGACGAGTAATCCGCGACGTTGCTGCTTTTTCCGTAGTAATCTTCTTCGCACGCGGTGTCTTGAGAGCCCCAACAGACCATTGGAGGTCCAACGCGTCAATGCCGTCGCGGACAAGGTTGCTAGCGACACGCGCCACTTCGTCCGTATTGGCTCCGCCATTGACAAGCGTCTCGCCAGAAATGGTCCGGCGCCGGTCAGCAGCGACAATATCACCCTTGGAGCGGCGGTGACCGCGGTTCGCCGTGCCACTGAGTTTTGAAAGGTTGTATACACCTTTGCCGGAGCAAGACCGACGTGGGCGCGCTGCGGGTTGGGGCTCCGAGGGCGTTTCGGGTGCAGGGTCGGGAGTCGGAATGGCATCCGCAGGGATTTCGATTTGAGCCTCGATTTCGGTCTCAATAATGGTTTCGGTCTCGAGAATGATGGGGATGTCGTCTAATTTGGGGCCCTCTGAGGCCTGGCTGGCAACATCGGATATACTGGTGGGAGGCGTGGAGCTGGAAGAC